AGCGCGAAGGATAGAGAGAGAGGCTTAACGCGAGAAGAGAATGCAAATGCTGTTGAGACAGGGAGGGATGGATGGAGGAGAGCTGGATGGATGGTTGGATTAGGGGAGAAAGAAAGGCGAGGGTCAGGTGTTTGGTGTGACTTTTTGGCGGGGTCAGAGTTTCTCTCTGGACGATGGCGACAGAGCTGGATTTGCATTGATGGATCTTCTTTCCATGGGGATGTCATGTATCAGTGCTTGGGCACATCATGCTCCGGTCATTAATCAAATCATGGCCTCCATCTAGACCTGTCTGTCTGCCAGACGCTTCTCATCTGTCTGCCTCTCTCTCTCTAGCCTTGGTCAGCCTTTCCTGGCTCCTCTGTCTGCCCTTTTTCTGCACAGATATCTTTCACTTTTAGTTTTTATAAATAATGCTTTGATAGCTCGCCTGTTGTTAAGAACATGCAACAGGTTTATAGAGTTACATGTCATAGTAGTGATGAAAGCAGAGCTCCATTATTAGTTAGAGATAAGAATAGTAGTTTGAAGCTGTGGTAGTACTGATGGTTGTACCGGCAACTGCTCTAATGATGGTAGAAATAACAGCTGCTGGTGGTGGTAAAGATGGCAGAACCATATTGCTATTCAAACTAGATTGTGTGCTCTGTGGCTTTCGGTGAATCTTTGCTTTCGACCTGACAGCAATCAGTAAATCTAAATGTGTAGCTGAAATCATTAATTCTACATCCATTCTGGGAATGAAAGCCGGCGTACACGCAAACATAAAAAGTGTGTTTACTCAGTCTTTTCATATTCAGTTTTATACATTTCTTCCATCTTTGTCAAATCATGCAGCTGTGCTCAGGCCTGATTTCCACTCCCACTGTTTACCATAGGTGGATGTAGACACACCCTTAATCAGTTGTTTGCATATGTCTGCTCCACCACTTGGTCTATGAAAATAACAGCAAAGACGTCCAGTTTCACATGCTTGCATTGTCAAGAGCAGACAGGGCCACACTTTCCATGGCACCAGACGTGAGCATGATTAATTATGCATTTAAAAAAAAGGACGTGAGCGCAGGGAAACGTTGAAAACACAATAAAACAAGAGAGAAAAACAAGACAGGGTATATAATACACTTCATGCATGTTTCTGCAGCTTTCCGATTCTATTAAATTTAAAGGTAAAACAAACAACTGTGAAGATTATTGTCGCGACCAGAAATTGTTCTTCACTTGCATTTTATGCTGCATATTTTAAGAAAATAGTCTTTTCCTTGTTTGTGTGATTTAATGTTCTTTAAGGCGTACAGCACAAGAAGGTCATGGGTTTAAAAACATAGCAATTTATAGATTAAGTATCATCTTTTATTTTTCTGTCCAACAGGCAGTTTCTGGGGGTTTTCAGCTCCTGTCACATTGTTACTCACTGTGGGCTGGAAGGACACGGAGCTTCAGCTTGTTTTGTCCAGTGTAACAAAGTTTTAATGCCATGAAAAAGAAAAAATAAAGTAAGGGTAATTTCTTTGATTATTTGGTGTGTAAATTAAACAAAGGGATTAGGCATTTTTGCTTATAAAATGGAACAGCTCTGCTTTTTTGTCACATGACTGTTGGTCACAGCTGAGTCAGTCATGTCTCCTCAGTTGGAGATATCTTTGCTTTTTGCAAAATCTGATATAAATGGATCATTTTCTGCAAATTTTTAGAAAACATGGAGAAGAAAGTTTTTTTTTTTTTTTTACTTTAGATGTGGATAGTTTTCTAATAGAGCTTCACATCACAAGTAATGGTTTCTGGCTCTGAGAAATTGTGTAATTTTGACTATATATATTAAAGATAACATACCTTTCAAACCTGCCGGCATTTTAAACATCGCTTTGCCACTTAATTATCCAAACACCATTTTTCCGTGTCTGTTTCTATTCCTAACTTATCATTGAGCGATTTGTTTGACAGAATAACACTAAAAGAAGATAAAGCACAGGTGGCATGTCTCTTCTGACCTTTAAAATCTGTGTATTACAATTTATGAGAAAGCAAATCTGACAGGGAGAGCAAGGAATTTTTAGCCATTTCCTTTCTTTTGTTCTGTTTTGGATCACTTTTAATTGTACTCATTGCATTTTATATTCGACACTACTACTTGAAATTTATATCACTATCCTGTAAGTCATGATTTGGTTTGTAGAACCTAAAGCTTCCCTTGATGAAAGTCCCTCTCTCCTCTCATGCTTTATGTCATTCTGTCTGCAGCCCTCCTGCTCACCCCCCTCAGCCTGTCTGTCTCTCAGCCGTCCAAGTGGCCTTTTCACGTATCGTCTTCTGCTAGTGCGTGATCTCCTACACGTTCCGCACTAACTTGTCTTCGCTGTCTGGGGGGGTTATGACAGTTTGGGACCCCTTGGCCTTGAGTGACAGCACGTCATGACGCTTTGGTCAACAGCGATCATCACCCCACTGGCTACACCTGTTCTTCAATCGTTTTTTTTAAGGGTGGGGGCTGATGACGAATAATGTAGTTGGGCAAAAGTAAAAGGTCTGTGTTGGAGAAGGATGCTAAATTCAGCGACACCCCCACCCCTACTCCTTGCCCTCCACTCCCCTCTTAGCTGAAGCACCATTATGGCTTTTCAGGCAGCTTCCTGTACAGATTCTTTTTTTTTTTTTTTTGTCATCCCTCCCCCTCCCTCCCTCCAACACAAAAGGTGGCTGCCCAGCTCTGGGGGTGTTTTGAAATGTGAAGGGCTTTCAGGAGCTGCCCTGGTACAGGCCTCTGTTAGTCTGACCCAGAGAGGAGCAGAGGGAAATGAAGGACAGGTTTGTGTAATGGTCTCCTCTCCCCCTGCGAAGGTCACGCAGCATTGTTGGCCGGCGGAGGTCTAGAAGACAGGCCTTTGGAGGACCACAAAGCAGAGCTTTGGCAGGACTAATGAAACTCAGAGCTACACGTTAATGATCTAAAAGACTGGACCAAAACACTCAGCGGTCCCTTTCCGCTCGCATTCAGCCTCCTCTTGATCGCTCCTTCTAAATAATGACAAGGCACTCTGCTCCTCTACCTTTATTGTAACCTTTGATGTCCGCCTTGTTTTCTTTGTCTCCGTGTCCCCCCTCCCTCCTTTTCATTCCTTTATGTTACGTGGCTGTCACTCATCTATTAAGGCAACAAATGGAACAAGGAAAACATTCAGAGTGTATTGTGGTGTACCCACAGGTTTGCTCTTTATTTCTTTTGAAAGCACTTGAACTTGGAATTTTCCTTGGGTTGCTCAGTGAATCAGCAGGATACAGTTTTTTTTTGTTGTAGCTATTGTCACAGGATTACAAACATATTTGTTTGATAATCCACATTTCTAAAAGTTTAATCTCTCTGTGCAACTGTTAATATGTGATTGTGTCTTTTCCTCATTGTACGAGCAGATCGCCTTGCCTAAATTACAAAAACGAAACGTTACACTTACCGTTAGCGGTACGTAGTCGTGCGGATAGTTTGGCTTTTATTTGTCCAGGTGTAGAGGTTTCCAGACATTTGTGCCTCCACTTCTGTGTAATAGAGGTAAATGTAACTTTAACGCAGCTTTGAAAAAATATATGTATTGAAGCAGAGCTAGAGATATTGTACTCCACATCACATAGCTGGCCAAATAAAGCCTAAGTGATTATCTCAAAGTCATCATGCAGCAGGTGAGAAAATTCCATCACACTGGAGATCACAACTTGCTGTGGTCATGGAATTCAAACAGACAGTGAAAAATGTCTCTCAGCGAAGGTGTTGGTGCTTCATCATTCAAACACTGGACTCACCACTCCTGTCGTACAAAATACATTTAATTTGCTTGAGTGTGAAAGACTGTATTTAACCCAGGAAGCTGCAGCTAGACAACAAAACACTGTGTGCTTGCAGAAACTAATTAATGATTAATGATTGGTCACTAAACCTAAGAATAAAAAGCATGAAAATGACCTGTCATGGTTAACTTTGAGCATGGGATGGTCAGTATGGTTGTGGAAATTTAACATTCCCAGAACAAACCAGTCTGGGGTTGAAATTGTTGTATCAAATTTCCTTGATCCCGAATGAATTGACCAGCTAAAAAATGGTTAGAGAAAATAAAAAAGCGCACTTAAGCAACAAAAATCCTGCTTTCTTTCCTACTAGAGATTAACTGTGCCTGACTTATAAAACAAATAATGCTGCCAGTAAGCTGTAGGCATGTTAAGTTAAATAGTAAGTGAACTAGCAGCCTCTCTCCGCCTGATGTAGCTGGTTAAGGTCATTAGGCCTTTAAGAAGCCCTTTGACATGCCCTGATTATGTTTGGCTGGAGCTCCGTGGCCTGTGTGAGATGAGATGTGTTTCTCTGGATCATCTGTCTTTGTGGGCGTGTTTATGTGTTTGCCCATATGTGTGTGCATGTGTGTGTTGCGGCCGTGTGTAGGGCCTGTTGATTGGCCTTGATTAACAGACTGCCAGGCACTAGAAGCAGAGTCTTTGTAATGTAGCATCTTGAGCTGGTTATTTCCAATCATTCCACAGGAGGCCTTGAACCCGGGGTTGTGCATTTGTGTGTGTGAGGAGTGGGAGGTGGTGATTCGCTTTAAAAAAAAAAAAAGCATTACAATATTCAGAGAAAGGTGCAGCTTTTTAAGCAAGGTCTTCTGGTGGTCCAGCATGCAATTTGAAGTGAATGTCAGATGGCATTTTTCGTTTAATTCCAAGTGAGTAATGTCGGGAATTAGCATCTGTAAAGAGCGCTGAACTGAAAAAGCAACCACTGAAAAAATGAATTATGTATTAAAGGTTGTACCAACATTCACAATGTGATTCCTCGTGTCCTGCTACCATTACCTGAAATGGCTCTTTGACTGACGTATTTTTCTATTTTGTGCTGCTCCAGAAATCCATGAAAAGAAGTTTTCTCTGGCCTTGCTATCCAGGGAACATCCAGTTCTATTCACTAGAAACACTTTTAATAAATATGTGTCTCTGTGTTGTTTTTTTTTTTTTTCCAGCCAAACTGAGCAGCCAGGATTCATACAACAACTTCACCAACAACAACATGGGGAACCCGCGGCTCACCCCGCTGCCCAGCCTCACTGTGGTGCTGCCTCTGGCTCAGATCAAACAGCCCATGACCCTGGGGACCATCACCAAACGCACCGGGTAGGTATCACACACACACACACACACACACATAAACCTTCTCCACGGGAACTGCAGTTTATGAAGCACATATGTTTTACAGCTACAGTATAAAATGATCCCACTGCCTCATTATCACAGAATCCATAACTTGCTGCAGGAGTGGTTTTCTTTGTCGTCCTCCTTTAGTGCCGTACAGTCATAAATAGATTACTTTACACTTTATTTAAACCTCCGTATTGGCATTTATGTTTTATGTATTTATAAAAGAATAGTTTATTGCACACTATAATACAGTTTTAAGCAGATGTGACATTGTGTTTATTAACCCTCTGAACTTTAAACAGTCTCTGGGCGTTTCACACAGTTATAATGTCATTGATCATAAAAACAAGTAATAAAAACGAAAGTTAAATTTCATTGATTTTTTATTTAGAAAGATTGGAAAAAGGAAAAAAAAAATGAAATCAGCATGTAGACTGCAGCATTTTTTCCAGTGTTCACAGGTGTTACCAATTGTACGGCTGTTCCTGGAAGGGGAAATATCTGAATACCATAGATAGCTAACTACTGACATTTTAATTAGTTTCTGTATTCGTCTGCTATCTGCTCAGTGTAAGAACAGTGCAATGTTTACCCCTGAATTCTTGTCACACGACTGCTGAGTCTACACCTGAGTCACTCCTGGCTTCGTGGTTGTAAGTTTTACAGAATCTAGATAGAGCAGGGGATTTAGATTTGTAAAAAAAAAAATAGCATGTAGAAACGACGCACACACAAACACAGTGTGTATACATATATATATATTTCAATCTACACTTTCACTGGTCACTATAATCATTTTCACAATGAACTGTCTTTAGGGCAAAAAAAATATCCCAGCTCCAATTCACCACAGAGTACATAACTAAAACCTTCAAAATATTCTGTCTCCAGGGGGCTCGAGTGTAAAAGGATTATTGGCAGCCTCACAACCTCTACTAAATTTACAATTTGGCCATTGTCGAGGAAAATTTATATCACGCTGTATTACGTTTTTAACTTCGGCCCGCGATCTGCTGTCTCTTCCCATTAATCACGTTGTAAAAACACTGTATTGTGTCAGCAGTAGCCCTGTGTAGGCCAGAGCCTTTCCTCTCACACATCCAGCTGATGCTCATGGACTTCTTTTGTCTCAGGCCACCATTTTTTTTGCATAGGGTAATGAAGCACAGCGCACATGCGAACTCATTCTGTGGGCTATTTGGAAGGCAGAAAAAACATCCCGCACTGCAAGAAAATAAATAAAACCCTGCTAACAATTCTAAATGGCACCCAAGCTGTATTTAAAGCAGTTTAATCCCGATAGCTTTGGGTGTATAAACAAGTGCAGTTGTGAAAGTAAAACAGCTCTGCTCTCATGCACCTCTGTCCTTTTTTTTTTTTGCATCTGGATCTTTGCCACGCATTGAAATTATGTAGTTTTAAGACCATCAACAACTACAGGCCTTTGCTAAGTGCATTTACATACAGTACAGGTGGCTCCACAAATATGGGCCCATTTTAATATTTTCATTTAAATGTAATTTTCATGCCCTGTTTGAATGGGAAATGCTATAATGGTTCAAACAGACGGCGAGGGATTTATTTCCCCGTGATATTTGATAAGTGAGCTTTGAGGATGAAAATAGAGACCTGAGCCTGCGGTCAACATAAACAACATCAGGCCATTTTCCAAATCATTAAGATGACCTGCAAAGTCATTTGTTTTGTAAAAATGATTATTGCATGTGGCCTACTGTGGTGTCCTGCATTGGGATGATTATGATGATGTCCTGGTACTAGTGGTTTGCATTTGGTTTTGCAGTTGTGATATTTAAAATTATACGAAGGGCGGGTGGGTTTAATTTAGGGCCTTTAAAAAATATAAAAAGAGGGCTTTCAAATAATTTTTTATTTTATTTTATTTATTTTTTTTAGTTTTCTGAAAGATATTTCCACCTGGGTGTTCTCTTCTGTCTCTTCTGTTTTGATGTGTCACATCTTTTGCTAGTAGTATTTTTTTCTTGTCTTTATTCCTTACTAGAAAATAATTGCTATTAGTTTTTTTTTTGTTGATTTGTCAGCTGTTTATTTTTAACATGTTAATCACACGTTGCTGCAGTGATTTTTTCTGTCTTTCTTTGGGAGTAAGTTGTCTGTTCTGTCTGTTCTTCTACTTCTTTGCTGTTCAGCAGTAATAGGCACTTTCATTTGTTTATTTCTTTTTTGCTTTTTCTTGTATTGTCACACTTCCAAGATATTTTTTGTCACTTAGTCTAGTTAGTGCTCTGAAATAGAGGTGTTTTCAGTACGACTGCCAGCATGGTACTTTTCTGATGATAAAATATAAGATTACAGAATACAGAATTCTACAGAATGTTGATTATATATTTGAAAAACATGTTGAAAAAAATTTGACTAATATCAGGAACAGTATGATCAATGTTTAATGACTACAGACACACCGCGGTCAGTAGTCGCATCGGATTCTTCTTTGCTTTTTCTGTTCATTGATTTTGGGTTGGCTTGTTTCTGTTCATTCAGAACAGAACTGAAGCATAGAATATATCAGTAGCTAGGAGAGTAGCCAGAGAATATCCCCTCAAAAAGTCCTGGAACACTGTCAGACCGTTTTGTTCAGTGAATGTAAAAGCCTTCATTACAGTGAAACACACCAAATCATAGTCAATTGATGGGAATTAGTCAGTAGATGCTGCTGTCAGATCAGGTAGTGGTGAAAACTGGTTATGCAACGCGGGGGTTATTGTGTTTTTGGCAACAAATTCTAATCTTTTGTCCAACCCTTTTAAATCCGTGTGGCCAGACCAGATATTAAACACACCTCAAAGGATACAGATTCAGTGCCCCTCTGCCTCGACACAAACTACAGTCTCCAAAATGATCATACCAATAAAAGAAAAATGAACAAAATGAGACTTAAAGATCTGGCTGTGCGATGCAGCTAAAAATAATGTATCACTACTTGCATGTAATAAAGAACACTGAAGTCTATTTGTGAAGGAACACAGGTAACAGTGTTAATGCTAACACAATGATGGAAAACACAGAAATAAAAATAAATACGGATAAAGGAATGGTTTTACATTCATACACATTAAATAAAGAAATCAAGTAAAACCTGGAGATGCATGGAGGGGACAGATGTGAGTCAAGTCCGTCATCTGTCAGAGCAGGCCGCTGGACTTGCGTTGCTGTGGTGGAGGATAGAGGATCACGGGTGTATTTTCACAACAAAGCCCATCTCACATACATGTAGAGATAAAAACGATGCTACAAAAGAAGATAGAACTGCATTATCAAAGGATTTGGTAGGCTGTTGTGAGACAGGGAGAGAGCACACTTGAAGTCTGTTCATGCAACCAAACTTTGCGTTTCCACTGTGTGCTCTCATGGGGGTTTACATGAAGTTATATGAAACGAACATTCTGTGAAATTTTGTGTTCTGTTATCCTGTGTTTTCTTATTGCTGTTGATATCAACAGTACATAAGGCTATCGTTTCATCTCCCAGGTCCAGCTGAAGGGCATAAAGCGACAAATACATGCAGTGAGGAACATACCGCATGATGCAGTATTCTGGCTGATGATAAATGGCCTGCACTTGTACGCGCTTTCCTACCTCAGTAGTACTCAAAGCGCTTCACAATGTTTTCTCATTCACCCATTGACACACACATTCATACACCAATGGCAACAGAGCTGACATGCAAGGTGCTGCCTGCCATTAGGAGCAACTTCAGGTTCAGTGTCTTGCCCAAGGACACTTCGACTGTGAAGGGGCCGGAGATGGAACCACCAACCTTGCGATCAGAGAACAACCACTCTACCACCTGAGCCACAGCCGCCCTGATATGATTTAATAGTTTATGAACAACAATGGCGCTCTTTTATCAATATGAACAATCTAAAATATTGCCAGCCTTGTCCTTAATCCGTTTCACTGAATGAGAAATTGTGCAAGTTTTCCATGTGAAACACCTCCAACAGCGTTATCAAAGCCGAGTGGAGCGCCTCAGCACTCCTTCATCCGACCATTCAGTCCAGAGGAGGCGTCAGTATTAATGCATCAGGACATGGAGCTGTGCAGCCTTCTCCTGCATGCACACGGCTGCACCAATACACCGCACCAACACGTACACGCATGCACACACGCAAACACACACACGGAGTGAGGCAGCAGGTTTTGCCCCTAGAGTGGGGGGTGATATCATATGCTTTCACGCTATACTTGCACAGGAGTACCCAGGCACCATCTGTCTGTCTGTGCAGCCAGCCCCTCTCTCTTTTGTGTGCGTCCGTGTGTGCATGTGCGTGTGTGCATGTGTGTGTGTGCGTGTGTGTGTGTGGGTAGAAAGAGAGAGAGGAGCGTCCGGCAGCTGTATTTACACCTGTATGAGCAGATCCCTGTTGGCAGGGCGGCAGAGGAACACACCAGCTGCTTAACCTACATTCCCTACCAAGCTGTCTTTGTGTGCACTGTGCCATGCCACGCACACACACACACACACACACACACACACACACACACAGACACGCACACACATGCACACACATGCACATATTGATGAAGTCTTTGCCCCTTTGTGTGACCAGGCCAACTGCAGGGATACCGTCATAGACCCTGGCATGCTTACAGACCACCAATGTGCAAAATATGCTGCTGTTTGTCTTCAGAGGCCTCAAGATTTTAACATCAAAGGAAACCTCAACAAGTTCACGCAGAGCCCCCTCCACTCTCTTAATTTAGATTTTGATGCTTTCCCCCCTCAAAGTGCGGAAATAGCGTCGGATGTGGCTCAGCATCAGCCTGATAACCCTCCTCCAGACGAGGCCAGGTCAGGGAGTGAAGGAACATAGCCAAGCTTCTGCTTGTCCTCAAAGTCTTTTGGAAATCCCGAACAAGGAGAGGTGTGTCAGCTCTGACACAGCTTCTTGTTTCCCTTCAGCCAAATTTGGTGAACGGTTGGACCCAGATGAATT